TATATTTCACTTCTTCAGCTTCTTCCGTTTGGGTTTGCGTTGTTCAGAATCACTCTCCACTTCACCATTGAGCTTAGATATTCCATATTGATAGAGAAAGAATGACAGCCTAGATCTGTACAGCTCAATATCTAAAAATGGAGGAATTTCTTTGCCATCAATGAAATGCTCAGCAAAGGCAACAACAAAATCCCCACAGTCACTACAAAGAGTATAATCAGAATCAATACGTTTGTTATTACTACAATGATAAAAAGGATAAAAGAAAAACATTTGAATCAGATAAATGAACTTACGCTGATTCTTGAACAGGCAGGTCAGAAACATATTTCAAATCTAAGTCCCTATTTAGATCCAAACCACGACTAGCAAAGTAACCCATGTGTCGAAAAAACAAAGAGAGCATCACAGTATATGGCTTCACAACATGTATAGCATTACTTCTATCCCTTGAGCTGATCATTGAATTGTAAATATAAATACACCAATCATTGATGCAAAACCTGGCAAGGACCCACTGCATTTGTTTCTTAAGGTAAACTGGCATCAAAACATGCTCCACTTCATCCCAAGGCTTTGAACGGGGCAAGGTAAAGCCTACAATATAATCACATAGAGATGCAAATATCGACCAAGAAAAAGACTTATCTAGAGTTTCACCATATGATCGATGTAGCTTAAGATTGAAAAGAGAATCCGTTGTTGTGAAACTGGTTTTGCATGTAGTAGTAACTTGAGCCTTTTTCCTAAAGTAATAAAAGATCACATCTAGATGCTGCACAAAAAGGAAAATATCAAAAAATAAATAAAGAAATACGAAGAAAACATAATAATATATTTGAAAACGTTAATAAGCATACAGAATCTGATATCATCTGCCCCATATAATGAAGCTGGTGAAACCATGTCTTTGATTCGACAAAAGCAACAGTAAAATTGAATCCAGGACTGATATGATCAACTTTCGAAGGATACATCAAATTGGATCTACAAAAGGATAAAAAACATTAAAAAGCATAATATAATAAACTGTATAAAATATAATATGAATGTTAATGTTAAAACAACCTTTTGCGCTTATAAGCCCCTTCATCAATCCAAATATTAAATGATTCAAGAACTGAAGACAGTGGCACACAGTCTGCTTGATCAACAAAAGGGCATCCAATGGGGGTAACAGATGTCTTCAAAGAGCCACCTCCAGAATCAAACTCACCAACAAAAGGGGATTTCACAAAAACATTGAGCCTTACATTCCTTTTTTTTCTTAAGTGATTCAGGTGTATGAGTTACTGACAAAGGTTGAATACTTGGGATATAAGGAACTAAATCCTTTATAGGATTTGAAGAACCTGAAGGAGGGTCATTGGTAGAAGACTACAAAATAATGAAAAACAATATCAGAAGCAAGATAAGATAAGATATACAAGCAAAGCATAAAGAATAAAATGTATATACCTTGGATTTTTGAAAATCTGAAACAAGAGAATCAAGTTTAGCAAAAAAAGCATCATCCTCAAGAGGTTCATTAGAAACAGAATCTACTCTATGCTCACTTGATTGATTTTCAGTAGACATCATCTCAACAACAGTAGAATAAACATGCTTGTAGACATAGTCCAAAATCAGAGCATCATTTTCAGAACAAGTCAACTCACCAACAGTAGAAAATACCAACTTTTCAACGTATTTCAACAACAAAGCATCATGTTCAAGAGACAACGTCTCAGTAACAACTGAAAAAACAGTATTCTGGAGAAAATCCAACAAGACAATATCATTCTCATCCGACATGAAATCAGTAACCGTAGAAAAAACAATATCATGCACATAATGCAATAACACATCACAATCCTGTGAAGAAATTAGATCTGTAAAAGTATGAGACACGGAGTCTTGTGAATGACTAGTAATAACATCAGCATCATCTGCAATCTGATAAGAATAACAACAAAGAAGATTACAAATTTGAAAACAAAAAACAATAAGAAACATAAAGAAACAATATAAAAAGAGACAGATACATAACATGTTCATTATGTGAAGACTGGGCACTAGAGTGAGTATAATTGACTGGTTCATCTGCAATCTGATAAGAATAAAAACAAAACATGTTACAAAAATGAAAAAAAGTGAAACAAAAAACTACAAAAGTAAAACATAAAGAAACAATATAAAAAGAGACAGAAACGTAACTGGTTCATGATCTGAAGCTTCCCCGCTAGAGTCAGTATAATTAAATGCTTGATCTAAATGAACAGAATCAAGATCAACAGTGCCAACAACATCATCATCAGAAAGATCCTTTGTATTAGCAGCACCACAAACATCATTTGAAATCAGTGGCTCATGTACAATAGGAGTGTGTTGAGAAACTGTCTCCTTGCTAGATTGAACATGATAAAATGAAGCAACACGGTCAAGCTTCTGTTCTAACACATTAAACCTATCCTCAACAAACTTTTTGAAATCAGTCAATTTACTGTCAAGGCGGTTTTCAAAATCGAATAGAACAGAGCTTGAAATCTGATCACCAAAAGAAGTACTAGGTCCGTGGTTAGAATTTGAAACAGAAGGCATAGTTTGGGTCCTTATCGGATGTGCAGCAAACAAAGAAGCTATTTCAACAGATTCCTTTTCAAGATCAGTAATAACAATGTTGTGCAATATCAACTGCCAAATAAAGAAAAAACAAAAAATAAATTTAATGAAAGAAAAAGATAATAGAAAAACAATAAAAAGATATGGAAGATAAAATTTTAAGAATACCTGAGAAGCAGATAAACAAAGAAGCTCCATATTCAACTTCTTGTAACTGAACGCAACAGAAGGTTGCCAAGACAATAAACGGGGAACTAAAGAACCGGATTTCAAAGCAAACACGTCATCACAATAATCACAGCACTCATAAAACCACACCTGAAGAGCTAATGGAAATCCCAAAATACGGTAAAAGAAGTAATCACTTTCTGAAGTATCTGCCCTCACAAGTCTTCCTTTCAAATTTTGCAAAGTCAATTCAAAAAGGTCCTTACCCCAGGGATAGGTATCCCATAGACAAGAATTCACAACATCCAGATAAGTCTCACTAATATATTTTTCCTTAGACGAAGTAAAGAAGAACAAACCAAGAACATAAAGAATGGCAAGTTTAACAGCATCTTCATCACAATCAGCATTTTGACCAAGAAAACAATTTGAAATTTCTTCACGACTCACTTTAGAAGAATTGTTGAAATATTTTTTGATGAGGTCATTACTTTCGGAAGAAGTAAGAGTAGAACAATCAAATTCACCAGCACATTTCAAACCAGTAACAACTGCAAACTCAACAATTGAAAATCGCAAACGATAACCAGAAACATCAAACCACATCTCATTCGGAATATTGTGACTAATTTCTCGAAGAAGCAAACAATGCACAAGTTGAGGCTGAAATTTCAGGTCTTTGAAATCAAGGAATTTACCAAAGCAGGTTTGCCTAAATAAACTCAACTGAACTTCCGACAATTTGGACTTCAGATTATCAGGAATGCAATCCTCGTTATAGCTACAAACCCTACTGTTAAACCATGACTGACATGGAACAAAATACTCCCACTCCTGGAGTACAACAATGAAAAAACGAAATAAACAAAAAAATTGAAACAAATGAAACAAGAATTTTTATGTGAAAAATACAACAATAATAAAAAATAAACAAAAAATGTAAATAATTACCTTAAATGACGGAGGATTAATGTTACTTTTCGCCTGATTCGAGGAGATCTTCGACTTCTTACAGTGCACACTTGCAGAGACTTTAGGCTTCTTCCGAGCCTTCAGAGGTTTTTTATTTTTTCGCTTCTTACCAGTGACATTTGCACTTGAAGTACGAGACGGTGAAGCGGAATCATCCTTAGGACCAGAAGTTGTTCCACCAATATTCATCGCAGAAGAAGCTCTCGTAATACGACGAGGAGTATTAGAACTTGACATTGTTGAGGAAAAAGGAATAACAGAGTTCACAGACAAAGTTGAAAGAACAAAAGCGACGGAGAAGACGAACTAAAGATGAAGATACGAAGCAGATGAAATGCGAAGTTGGAAGACGGGAAGCAAGAGAAATGAAAACGGGAAAGAGGTGAAATATGGTGCGAAAACGTGGAGGGCGGTTGTCAGAAACGGTCTAAAGTTGAAATACAAAAATAAAATTGAAATTGTAAAAGTCTAATAATGAAAAGGCAAAACAGTTGAGACATAAATGAAAGACAGTTCTAAAAAAGGTACCAAACGGATAATTACCACAATTTCCATATCACATGACGGTTTTGTGCATTAAACCCAAACCATAATACTCCATGGGCCTCATCCCTCAGGGCTCAAAAACGTTGGAAAATTAGTGGCCCAAAACTTAAATACCAATATACGAAGTATCATACAACTGCGTATATACTCCGTATGTATTTTTATTTTTAAATTATACTCCGTAAATTGGCTGCCTTTGTTTTAAGGGAAAAGGGGCAGATAAGGCCACATACTAACAAAAAAATGTCAAATAAGGCCTTATTTATGAGACTCTGTCCGGCCTTCGTCATTTGGGTTGGTTCTCGATGGAATTTTTTGATGAAATTTTTTGAGCATCTTATTCAGTAAGTCTAGTTTACTCATACCAAATTTAAGCTAAAACTTCAATCGGGAAGCCATTCAAATGAATTCTTGAATATAATTGCGCAGTTAAAAGCGCAGTTATCTTCAAGAATTCATTTGAATGCCTTCTCGATTAAATTTTTATCTGAAATTTGGTATGAGTAAACTAGACTTAATAAATAAGATGGTCAAAAAAATTAATCAAAAAATTCCACCGAGAACCACACCAAATGGCGAAAGCCGGACAGAGCCTCATAAATAAGGCTTTATTTGACCTTTTTTTGTTAGTAGGTGGCCTTATTTGCCCCTTTATTTGACCTTTTAATAATTATTTGCCCCTTTTCCCTTGTTTTAATAATTTCCTCTTCAGGGCTTTAAAAGCAGAATAGCCGACCAACGAAGATGAACAACCAAACGGATTGAAGAAAAAGGGCGTTACAGCGATTTGCGATTCCTGGATCAATCGATCAACCGTGACAGAACAATAAGAAGTAATATTTTTATTATGTGCTGATCGCTTATTTCTTTTTCAATTCCACATATACATACACTAGAATATATAATTAAAGCTACCGAAATATACATACTAGAGTCGAGTAGTCGACCGTATCTAAATCTCTTGTTCTGATTAAATTGTGATGTCGCGATGTGGTCTTAGATTTTGTTTGTTTGAATCTTGAGAAGTGTCTGGAATCAATTTCACTATTAATCATTGATCAAATTCTTGTTCTGATTAAATTGTGATGTTGTGATGTGATCTGATATTTTGTTTGTTTGAATCTTGAGAATTGTCTGGAATCAATTTGACTATTAATCGTTAATCAAATATGTTGTTGTTGTTTGGTGTTTGCTAGTTACAAAACTGCTAATCTGCTATACATGTGTAACACATAAAGCCATAAATGAAGGTAAACACATAAAATATTTATTAAATCATGTTTAAATCATATTTTTATTTATTTTTTAGTAATATTAGTACACATATGACTCCAGTAAATCATGTTTTTATTTATTTTTAGTATTGTACCTCCCAAATGCATGTCCTCATATTTTTAGTTTTTCTAATGGTGTTTAGTTGTCTGCTTAAAAATGTCAGACTATAAAAAATTGCAATCAATATGGGCCTTTTATGAAGCTCTACTCAGGCTCGAGTTTGAGTAGGATCTACACTGATCACAAATGGAATTCACAATGTTAAAACACTTTCAAAGGGGCTAGTTACATTCGATCCCACTAACAAATATTAATGACAATAATACAATAAGGAATAAGAAAAAATACATTTAAATTAATTACTCTCCAACCATAAGATGTAGCAGGATAACAGACGAGATATTTCTTCAACCTACATACTTTAACATGTCTATCATGCTCCTCTCTCTGTGTTATAAGTGGCAGGCAATCCTGGCTATCAATGGATCCTTCAAACTTATTAGCCTTGCCCACGACCTCCAACTTTGCCACTCTTTCCCTGACCTTGGAGCCCCGTCATCCATCCCACACCCAATTCCTCTTCCAGCAACATTATCTTCTCTACCTCTTCCCCTATGACGCCCTACACCAGGTGGCTTCCTGTCTAATTCGGCTTTTTGTTTCTTCTTGAACTTTATCAATCACCTCATCTGGAACCCGGAGATATTTATTTGTATTCCCATGAATATAACGTTCTGGGCCTTCTGGCATTCTCCAAATCCTATCTCCATCCTTCCAAGTACAGATACTTTGTGGTGATGAATATTCATCCAAGTATCACAATTTATCAAATGCCCGTTATAAGTTTCCCCATTCTTTAGTTCCATCAACATGGGATGCCCCTGGGCAGTTTTGAGGAGAGAAAGCAGAAGCAATTAGGATTAGCTGTAAACTCTACCTCTCTAAGCTAAAAGAGCATAGGGGGTTAGGGTTAGCTGTGCGCTCAGATTTTGACTTGAGAGTGGAGAGTCCACTGAATTATATATTTGGACTTGTAGTTAGTTTGGTGTGAATCCCAGGAATGGCTGTACTTTACTGGTCGCAATATTATCTGTGAATGCAGTCCTTTTCAGGTTTTTGAAATTGAAAAATATATACTCCCTCCGTCCCCGAAAGATTGTCCTAGTTTGACTTTACACATATTAAGGAAATGAATTTACTGAGGGGTAAGCTTTACTATAGAGTGTCCTAGTACACTGTTTTGCATTGTTTGATGTAGAATTGTTTACCAAATAAGGAAGTTAAAGAAGTAGGCCATTCATTTAGGGACTTCCATTTTGGGAAAGTAGGACGTTCTTTCGGGGACGGAGGGATTATATATATATATATATATATATATATATATTATATATATATTATATTTATATTATATATATATATACTACCCCCGTTCTTAAATAAATGCAACACTTTGACTTTTACACTATTCACATGTTCTACTTTGACTACGTTTTATTTATTAATGTAATAATATTATTTTATGAAAAAAATTAGTTAAACTTGTCTCATTGTAAATTTTCATAATCTAATTTTTTTAATTTTTTTACTAATACAAAATCATTTATATTAATGGTCAAAGTTGTGTCTCGGCAAGTGTGAAATGTTGACCGTTGCATTTATTTAAGAATGGAGGAAGTATATATATATATTCCCTTGCATAGACCCTAGCTTGGGTCTTCCCTTGCATATATGTGTGTGTGTGTGTGTGTGTATATATATATATATATATATATATATATATATATATATATATATATATATTTGTTTTTTTTTTTAGGAAAGCGAATTTTATTGATAAGATAAAACAGTACAATGCGAGAATAGAAAGAAAAGCATTACAGAGAAGAGAAAAAGAAAACAGAAAAAACTAGCCCCAAGGGCATATATATATATATATATATATATATATATATATATATTCCTTTCATAATTAGATCATATAGCCTCATGGACATGGCTTTTCTTTTCAGTATGCAAATTATTTGATATTCTCCTTGTGTTTTCCATTAAAATACAGCTACGATTTATGGTCACCTATGTTTCACTGATACGTGAGATTCACGGGGTAAATGGGAAACACCCTCTATTAATAGAAAAAATAACGTTTTAGAGAGTTTCCGTAAACAGAAACATACTCTTTCCCCGAGAGTGCCCGTGCTTCACTGATGACCATTTATCCATTACTATTGTTTATTAGAATCAGGCTTACAACTCATGTTGGTCAATGAAGATATAACATGTCGTCTATATAAGAAATAATATATGTTGAACTATGCTACTTTATTGCTTGAAGGGTGAAATTCAATATGCGGTAACGTGGAATAAGGATCCTGTAGTATTTGATTTGCTTACTCTGACCAGTGTATAAGGTACTGAAGATACCACAAGATTTGGCTGTTTTCTTGGTAAGTATACTACAATAAGTGATACAAGTGACCGTTCATGGGTTACTTTTGTCTGTGTGACATACTGACATGCTATTCTTGCATTATTATTTATTTAGCAAATATTCCCAAAGCCTTCAGTTTAGAGATACTTTTTCACACAATTATTTATTTAGCCTTGCTTTTGCATTGTAGTAGATCCCCGCGCCCATCAAAAGGGAACAATTTTGTTGCATTGTGTCATGTTTTATACGCTATGACATCATAAAGTTGAGGCCCTTTTCACCATTATTCAGGGATCTGCCATGTGGCTTCTGATATAAAAAGTTCGTGATTTGCACAATTCCATTTTAATGATGTAGTGTTAGTTGCTTTCTATTTTCTATTTACAGAGAGTCTAGAGTGCTATTTTACAAATGGGATGTTACAAAAAAAAAATTGAAGCTGTGTTTTAAGCTGACATCTACTGTCAAAATTGAATTCTTATTAGTATTAAATAAGTAGGATTGTAGGGTATGTTGCTGCATTAGTTTTTCTTTGACATCATAGACCATTGCAAAATTAATGGTTTTAGTGTTAGTAACAGTTTGAACTCACATCACCAGTGCACCTAAATGGCAACTTTAAAACAAAGCACGCGAGAAGAGGCAAATAACAATCATGCTCTTCTCCGTAAGGAATGGGATGAAGCTTCATGCCCGATATGCATGGATCACCCACACAATGCTGTCCTTCTGCTTTGTAGTTCTCATGATAAAGGGTGTAGATCTTACCTTTGTGACACAAGTTATAGGCACTCAAACTGTCTTGACCGTTTCAAGAAAGTCCCTGAAGAAACTTTTCATTTGCCCCCATCTCCACCAACATCAGAATTAAACCAGAGCCTCAGATGTCCTTTATGTCGGGGGGATGTGTTTGGGTGGAAAGTCATGGAAGAAGCTAGAGACCACCTCAATTTGAAGCTTAGAAATTGTTCTCGTGATTCATGCACGTTTGTAGGCAACTATAAGGAATTGCGGCTTCATGCCAGGAGGGCCCACCCCACAGTCCGTCCAACTGAGGTTGACCCATTAAGACAAAGAGCTTGGAGAAGCCTTGAAGAACAGAGAGAGTATGATGACATCATCAGTGCTGTTAGAACGGCTATGCCAGGGGCTATGGTCTTTGGGGACTATGTGATAGAGAATGTTGGAGGAAATAGGGTTTCTAGTTCAACCGGTAATAATAGGGATAGGGGGGCTGGATTGATGAGTACATTTTTTCTCTTTCAGATGTTTGGATCAATGGGCTCAATGCCTGATCTGAGAAGGGGTGATGGGGGGTCAGGGGATTTGTCGAGGCATCGTCGTTCGAATAATGGACCTTTTTCAAGGCGTCGCTCTCTTTGGGGTGAGAATCTTTTAGGACTTCAAGATGAAGAGAGAAACAGGGAAGATAATGATGACTCTAACGTGATGAGTGATGGGGCTCCCTCTGATAGGAGGAGGAGAAGGAGGCGTAGGTTTATTTGATCTTTCAATGTCAAATGAAGATCGCCAGCAGCATTAAACGGTGGTCATTCTGGTAGTGTAATCTCATGGATCATGAGTTTAGAACCCGTTTTGGTATGGCTTGAAATAGATAAATTGAAACTGTTTAAGGATGTTTTTACTTGGACTGTAATTCCTCCCAGACCGGTTCAGATCAGACTAGACTTGGATAGTTATAAAAATACAAAGAAATCAGACCAGTTCAGACCATACCAGACCAGCAAATTACAGTCCAAGTAAAAACATCATAAATTGTCCTGAATCGGTTGAGTCATTTTTAAAATAAGGTTTAAGTATGTTTTTAATCTTTGCAATATATTACATTTTGTTTTACGTCTCTTTTTAGTTTTTCATCCCTGAAATTTAGGTTAGTTTTCTTTTTAGTCCATCACCAACTATAACAACCTTTGTGTACTTTAACATGTTACTAAAAAGTATTTCATTTTATTTTTAGAATGTTTTTAGTACATATTTTTAATGTGAATAATTACTTTTACATTTTTTAACTTTCATTTTAGTCTAAAAAAATATACAAATTATAAAAGGATAAATGTAAAAGTCTTTCGTAGATTTATTCAATCAACATATATTTTTTGTAAATAGAATTGTTTTAGAATTAGAGATGGACTAGAAATAAAATAGTTCATATTACAGGGATAAAAATATATTTAGCGGACGCTTAAAACAAAGTGGGTCTTATTTGTAGGGATTATAAATGTATTTAAATCTAAAAAATAAAAGAAGTGTTAATTTTAGCCAACCAAACGGGTTCTTAGCATCTCTTATGTTATTATATTGGATGTTGCGGTTAGACTTAAATCAAATTCTTCTATTGTCCCGCCAATGTGCAGAGACCCCTCAGAACCATAAACTTGATGCAACTCATTCCCTGAGTTTTCAGCAAAGGACAGATTTGTTTGGAAATGGACAATAATTGAGGGTGCTGGTGATTTATTTTCCATTTGTGATCCATCTTAAACTGCAACATTTGTATATACTCGTTTGTTTTTCCTGTAATCATTCTATGTACAAGTGTAATACTGTTGTTCACTCATACAATCGTATGTGTTATCTATTGAAACTTATCCATTGAAACTTTAGTGTGGTTCTATTTTTGCATGTGCTCTCCACAACGTTTTAATCGAACTAAAGAAAACAACAAGCAAGATTGATCATTGATCTAAGATACATTTTACGGAATAGATTTTTTTACTAAGCTTTTACTTTGTAGGAGTGTATGTATTGGAGTTAGGGATGGACTCGGGCCGGGTGGCCCGACCCGGAACCGGCCCGGGACCGGTACTGTTCCGGCCCGGCCTGACCTGGTGGCCCGGTCAGTGACCGGTCCGGGTAGGCCCGGCCCGTGGGTTTTCCGGTCCGGGCTCGGGTCACCCAAAACAAGGCCTGACCCGGCCGGGCCCGGTTCGGGCCAAATTTTTTTTTTTTTCAATTTTTTTTAACTTTTCGGGTTGGGGTGGGTATTTTGCGCCATTTGGGGTGGTTTGGGGGGTTGGGGGTGGGAGGGGGGTTAATTAGGAAGAGGAAAACAAAAAAAAAATATAATGGGCCTGGCCCGGCCCGGCCCGGACCCGGACCGGACCCGGTGGTTGCCCAGGCCGGTCCCGGGTCCACCATTTCTGACCCGCCGGCCCGGACCCGAGTCCAACCCTAATTGGAGTATTAGCATTCCAACACCATGTGCTACAACTCTCACTCTATAAGTATGGGCGCGTTCAGTTTCCCATTTCACTTTGATCAAAAATCAAATACGGAACCAAAGTAAAATTTCACTTTGATAAAAAATCAAATACGGGGTCAAAGTAAAATGTTCAAAGTCTTTTTGTATTTTACATTTCGAAATATGAAATCATGTTTTAAAAAATCAAATACGGAGTCAAAGTAAAATGTTCAAAGTCTTTTTTTATTTTACATTTCGAAATATGAAATCATGTTTTCATTAGTTCGGTTGCTTTCAGCTTTCCCCTTTTACAAAATAAAAGGTTATTGTTTGATTTAAAACAATACAATAATGGGGGAAATAATGAAATCTATAACATAAGAAAACAAGCAAAGATGCCAAAAAGATAAAAATAAATTAAAAAAGAGAAGGAACAATTATATCTTGAAATTTTGTGAGAGAAAATATTTTCCCAATATTTTTGAACAAAGTGTAGAGTAAGAGTATATATATATATATATATGTATGTAAAAGTGTTGAGATTTTGTTTACAAAAGTTGTACATGTTACCTAATTGTTTTGTATTCAACATTTTTTTCCTTAATGGTAATAACTTTAAAAGTAATTCCTACACGGAAGTATACATATTCTTAGTTCTTAATTCAGAATATTTGTGTTTAGTTCAAAAAAAGTTCATGAAGTATATGTTATGAAGTATATGAGATAATGTTGAGATCAATATACTCCTTCCGTTTCTAAAAGAAACTCACACTTTCCTTTTTGAGATTTTCAAAAACGAAGTCACACTTCCCTTATTTCCTTATTTGGTAAAGAAATCTACATTCAAACAGTGCCAAACAGTGTCCAAGCAATGTCTAAACAGTGTTTTCTACAGTAAAGTCAATTTATTTCCTTAATAATCGTGAAGTAAAACCGTGACTTTCTTTTGGAAACGGAGGGAGTATTTTATTTTTTCAATAAAAGTTGTCAATAATAACCAGTAAAAATATGGAGTATCATTCTCATTCAATAAACTGAAAATCTATAAATATGTTCAAGTATGACGTGCATAAATGTAAATAGCTATAGGAAAATTATAAATGTTGTAGAACTAATGTAAACGAAAACAAAATATATTCAATGTAACCGTGGTATATTTGTTTAAACAACGATTCAAGGAAAATCAGCAATTTTTAATTGTACAATACACTTTTTTTGAAAGAATTGTACAATACACATATGTGTTGATGTTTCGTAAGAGATTGTATATACTTCGCTCGTTCTAAAAAGATTGGCCAAATTGACTTTTCTTGGTCAATGATGGTCAAGTTTGACCAATGATATCTTTAATACAAGATTATTTAAAATATAAAAAATTATATGTGCATATTCTTTATTAAAAAAAAACTTTCATAAAAGTATAAATTTATAAATTACACACAAATATTATACCTAAAATCATTGTCTGAATTTTAACACCATTGACCAAAAAAGGTCAAATTGTCAATCTTTTTGGGACGGAGGAGTATATACAAAGTCTAAGATGGACACAATCTCAACTTTGAGAATTGGGATTCAACTTAACTAAGATTGTTGAGTTTTTTTAACTGGAATCGGATCCGATTGTGCAATTCTAGGTTGAGATCGTAATTGGGTCAAGAAATTATATACATGGCAGTCACGATTGCTATTATGGGATCGGAACAAACTGATTTGTCCGGCCCCCAGTGAATACATTTTGACTTTTTTATATTTGTAATAACAAAAACAAAACAAAATCAAGACCGAAGTTCGAGCCATAGTTCAAGTTTATGCTCCCTTATTTAAATACCATGGAACGTTTGTGAACGAATCAATCAATCAAATACGAAAAAAATGAAATGACAAGTGGATATCGAAAAATTTCTGTGTAATAGGTTCATACAATGAAACTCATTACACTTCATCAAAATAATTCGTTCTAGCAAGGAATTCCAACCCTCCCTTTTGCTACAAATGTTGGTCTTTTTGTTTCATTGATCACGAAGCGGTGGGCGTAGCTCAACTAGTAGATAGGGAGTGCTACAAGAGGTACGTCTCAGGTTCGAATCCCGGCAACTGCGGTGACAGGTTACTATGTTAAAAATGCATAGGGCTTCTGCAAGTACCAGAGTCAGAGCTCCACTCTCTATCTACCGGCTTGTGATTAAAATTCAACTTACATTCTCTCATCTAACTATCCGGTCCGTGTTGGGTGCCCTCGGAGATGAGGTGTCATCTTTTTTTTGCATTGATCACGAAGTATCACACTCTTTAAACAAAAATGGGTTTAACTTTTTAAATAAATAGTTCTATACCCTACATACTCAAACATTTGATTACAAAATTGATTGGGCAATCTACATAAAACAAAAGTTGAGAAGAATGAGATTTTTCACCGTTTCCAACTCCAAAATTACAATTTCATTTGTCCCATCTTGTAACATATACTCCGTAGTACATTTTTTTGTACCGTTTTTTGTCCCATTTCTTTCTCTATCATTTCAATTTTCATCTTTTACTTTTTATTGACCCATTTTATGTTTTCTTACTTTGTGAAGGTTCGAATTGTAATATACAAGTAATACACTAATACGTAGTAATAAATAATAAATTCTTTACTTTCTTAAAACTTGTGTTAGACTTAAATGTATCTTGTATAAAGGGACGAATCAAGTAATATTTTAACACAGGAGGATAACGAAATCTTTACTAACAAAACACTTTAAATTGCGGCAAAGAAATTACCAGCTTTTGTCATATTTTAAGTAAAGATATCAAGAAGAATACTTCACAAATTTACCAAAGTTACAAATATACATTCACTACATCCGGCAATGCAAATAAAACAAACGTAGAAAAGGTTGAGATTTTCACTTTTTACAACTCGGTAATTACTCATATCTATAGAACTTACAAGCCAGACGATGAAGGTAAGAAATCAACCAAAGGAGAAAAAGCCAAAAGATTACAACTAACAGAAACTGCCAATGCACAATTTGCACACAGCTTTGGCCCCTCACCAGGCCATCAACTTTCGGCCTTTAATTGCAAGTGGGGTTTCCTACACGCAGTGTTCCTAGCTGGATTTGGGATGTCATGATTGTGTTTGCCTTCGTAAGCAGTGATGACCGCTTTGGGATCTGCTGAAGCTCTTTCAACGTGTTTACGTACTCTGCATCCACTAAATGTGCATCTATAGTAACTCCTGCAGTAAAAATTTGAAAGGATATGAGATAAATTTAAACGGGTCATCCGGAAACAGCCTCTTTGCATTTTAGTACAATGGTAAGACTGCGTACATCCGACTCCCCTCTTTACCCCACCGAAGGGTAAAGATGATGATGAGATAAATTTAAACCCGCTTTTAGGAAGCATACAATATTTTACTTTTACCAAGAATTACTAGTTTGAGCTTAATATGCTTTGCCATCATATAAAAGACTGAAATTTCAGTCTAAGAGGTTAAGTTGATTGCAGCAGTAGCCCGAAACCTTGAGAGGTGTTTTGGCAACCAGAAAAGTTAATTTTGACTTCTGTGTTGGCAGTTTCAGAATTAACATGATTAATAAAAGTATGAGCAAGTTTGATTTATTTCATAACATGTCAACATATATCATGTAACTTTAGAAATCACAAAAAGAAAACCGGAAACAACTTTGAACAAGGTCTTGTTTTTGTTTTTACATTTGATTGATTTGCCATAACTTCACCTACGAAAGTTGACAAAGTTTTCGCCTTTCGTTTTTGGCGTAACACATATTCCAAAATTTTCTTGATTTTCTTCTTCAATGTGAAGCGCAAGAGAAAACTTTTCTTACTCCCAAACTACCATGACATGGCACAAAATACGTAGTATGAAAACTCAAATTCTCTTTACAGAAATGCTGTTTTACAAAACAGTATTACTTTCAAAGAAGTCAACCACAATGTGGTATGACACCAAATTGTCAAAGAATGAAGGGAAACTCACTCTAACAACTAATTTTTTTTGCATGCATAAAGAGAAAAATGAGTACCTTGGATGAGTGTTTCCTTTGACTACTTTCTGCCCATATTTTCTCCACTTGTATCCATCATCCAAAAGGTCAACTTCACTCCTTGTCTGCACTATGATTCTGGGTTTAGTGACTGTTCTATGAGATGAGGGTGGAGCAGATGACACAACCTCTGCCTCTAAGCTCCTGCACTCAAAGTCACTTATTAGATCAGGCAACTACAACACCAAGAGCAAGCTGCTCTCAGCTTCTCTGTTTAGCACTTTAGCATGCAGGGCAGAAAAGCTAGCTTAAAGCAGAAAAATAGCTAAAAGCTGATAAAGAAAATACCAGGAGCTAACATTGGAAATCTATAATAGTAGGTATTACTGTATTAGAAGTGTTTGATAAAACTAGATATGACTAGCTAATATATGTGAAAAGGCATCAAAGGGAATTCCTTATATGGATGGTAGAGGATAAATGGTGTTGTTTTTGTAAAAGAATAGGGTTATTTGTGGGAAAATAAATAGGTAGGAGTTTATTTATAAAAGATATATGAGACAGCCTTTCATAAAGGGCTTATGATACTCATTCTATTACACGAAACATAGCTGATCACTTATATATTAGTGCGGCTTTAAGTTATTAGCCACTCCAAAAAAATGTTTAATGTTACTTTTAATATTATATCTAGAAACGCCTCAGTCAGATGTATTTCTCGTTTCCCCTTTCAGAATACAAAAAAAAAGCATTATCAAACGGCACCTCACCTTTTCTTAGGAATGTGTTCATCATCCTCATCACATGCAATAACTGTCTCCTCCATTTCATCAAGTTCCTGAGATGGTAATTTGGTGGATAACAGGTCTGACTCAGAAAACTCAATCTCATTTGACCCGTTAACTAGAGTCAAACAACCAGAAGCAGTGTCAGGCTTCATCTGTTGTTCATTATCTCTGCCCTCCACATCACAATCATCCTTCTTCCTTTTGTTAGGGTTAGGAAGTTCATGGTTATGCTGCCCTCTATATGTGATCTCAGTAATGTGCCCATCAACGGACCGCTCAACTTTCTTCTTGACCATACATTTGAGTTGCGAGCATCTATAGTAACTCCGTGGACACTCGCTTCCCTTAACAAGTTTCTGTCCATATTTCCTCCAGTTGTAACCATCTTTGGCCGGCCTCTCCATAGCATTGGAGGGAGGTTTTCTCAGTGATTGGGAGACCTCTAGGGGTTCATTCTTCAAACTATCTTGGTCAAACAACACATCATCCAGTTGACTTTGGAATGATTCGGTTCGGATGGAAGAAGATTCATGTTCTAACACATCTAGAGGTGAAGATTGATGGTAATCAGTCTGCATTTGCAAATAAGACTGGTTTAATGCAGCCTGAGCTGTCACATGTGCCAAGGCTTGTTGGTGAGACATTCCAAAAGGACTCTGCACAAACATTAAAAAACACCAATTCATGCCACTGAATGAATGAATTGCTCAATGAAGATATAACATTCTCCAAAAAGTCAATTACGAATACAATTTAGTTCCGTAGAAAATGACATGATCATTTTCCTTTTAAACAGTGAATCTATAATCCTCTATTACATTAACAACAACAAATGTGATAATGTTCCATTCTAAAAATCATATTTATTGAGTACTAGATTTAGGTTTTGGTGGTAGGTGGTTTAAAGTGCTAACAAGATAAATGTTGAGTTTACAAGATGCAGTTGTAAGCTGAGAGTACTAAAATAAAACTTGAGGTTCCATCCTAAGTACCAAGCGTGTAGGAGAAGTAGCACAAGATTTGGTTTACACTTTACAATCGCCTTAAAAATGGTTCAATATAGCTCACAAAAGCAATCTTGAAGAAGTCTGTGCTGATTTTAAAACTTACCCAAACCTAATGAATGAATAGTTTGATTGAAATTGAAATTATGAACTATAAGAAATTGAAATGGAAAAGGAACAATAAGTTCAGAATCCTTCATATTGATAATCAATAAATAAAATTGAAGAGTTCATATAGTAGGTGATTACCTGAAGTGGCGAGAGGAATCCGGGAGACTTGAGAAAACTAGAAGGGCTGAAGCCAGGTGGGACGACGAACAAAGGAGAGAGAGCAGCTACCGCCAAGCTCATCGGCCGATTCTGCTTATATCCCGACTGCTTCTCACTTCCCAGGCCGGAAACCGCCTTCTCGGGAGGATTAGCGAGCGGGGAAGCCATGGTGCCGGCAAGGAGCTGGGAGAAAGAGCAGACATCGGGGTCGGCGAGGAAGCTGGAAACCAGGGACATAGGACCCGGGCTGAATCCGGGTATGAACCCATCCGCGAAGAAGGATTCCATGGGCGGGCGGGGAACGACGGTGAGTAGCGGCGGGCGTGGAGGCCCGGCGATGGTGGTTGAAGCTCTGTTCGTGATCTCACCCATTCCAGAAATCCCAGAAATTATAATACGAGTAATAATTTTGCTTTACATCTTCTTCTTCTTCCTCTTTTTATATACTCCGTATGTAAAAGGGCACTTGACATTGACACTGTACGGAGGATTTTGCAACTTGCAGGTATTAGGTTTCATAGCGGATATCAATTTTCATACGGAGTAATTATTATTACTGTTACGATTGAGATGACATGGGAGTAACTAACATGGAGTACTTTTTACTTTTACTTTTATTTTTGTGTGAATTGACCCAAGTTCGGAGAGATAAATGAGGGCGCGGCTCACCGGCAGACGGGGTAATGCGGTGGAGGCCGTCGTAAATGTGTCCGGCGCGGTCGCTGCAACTTGTAAAAAACTGGAGGACAGAGGGGGCCCGACGTTGACTTTTGGGAAAGAAGAAGAGGTCATCATAGTGAGAGTGTGAGACGTTCTTTAATACTCCGTACTCTAATATCCCATCTCAACATCGATCGGACCGTACCGGAGAATGTAAAGGTGTTTTTACTTGGACTGTATATCCTCTCAGACCAGACCAGACCAGATCAGATCAGACCAAACTTGGATAGTTATAAAAATACAAAGAAACCAAAACAGACCAGTTCAGACCAGACCAACAAATTACAGTCCAAGTAATAACATCCTAAATTGGACTATAATCACAATCTGACAGATAGAGAGTGAGACTCTGTCCCCGGTACTTGCAGACGCCCTATGCATTTTTTAACATAGTAATATCTCATCGCAGTTGCCGGGATTCGAACCAGGGACCTAACTCTTGTGTGACTCCCTCGCTACCACTTGAGCTACGTCCACCGATAAGAAATTCATATTTGTAATGTTATACAAAGTATTATTTCATCCATTCTTTAATAAGTGTCTCTTGTTACATTTTCGTCTGTTTCTTATTAATTGTCCTTTTCATTTTAGAAAAGTTTTTTGAGATATATATTTATATACTCTTACTTTTATTACCCTTATCTTTTTACTTTTTACTTTTTACAGACAGAGTACTACTTTCTCTTTTATATTTAATCATCATTTTATTTTTCTTAATATTTCGTATATTCTTTTTCTTACTTTTTCATTTATCATAGACACTCTATACTACTACTACTACTACTATTTTCTTCTTAAAACCCGAGCCCAAGCCTATATGAACAATTAATAAAGAACGGAGGGAGCATGTTCATTTTATATAAATATTTTAAGTTACCAAGTTGACAGAATAACACAAAAAAACATTAAATTTCTAAATAAAATAGGATAACGATTTCATAACATTTTAGGCTGAAAACGCAATTATTTAACAATATTTTTTTTACTGAAATGATAATTAAATGTAAAAAATAATTACATATATATGATTAAAAACATATCATGTTTAAAAATGTGAACTTGACTATAGTAGTAATACAATTATAGTAACTTGCGTTCAATTTTTATACTTAAATGACTATGAAGTTTTTCACATTTGCATGGAAATGATTCACTATTTTTTGCTTGGAAATATGATGGAATAAAGTAAATGGCTCATTGTATTATCTGTGCCTCTTTGTTATGAAATAACAGTTAATTCATGCAATTTTTGATGCGATTTCCACCGTGGATCATTCAGAAACAGTCTCTCCTTGCTTTAGTACATGGTAAGACTACATACATCTAATCCTCTCTTACTCCACCATTGGTGAAAGCCTTTGCGGCAGTGGAGTAATGATAAAATAACCATCATCAAGCTATACTATACTAATTAGCTACGTAGTACTAGTCATTTTTTTTGTGGATAGGTTCAATTAACCACTGTGATATTTTTGAACTACCCTCCAATTAATCACTAATATTTTTGAAAATCCCTCCAATTAAATTAGGACAAAAGGTTGTACTTATATGTTGAGAAGCTTAAAAAAAGCTTGTACTTATAAGTTGAGAAGCTTTTTAAAAAAAGGAGGTAAGGGTCAGATTGATCCTCGAAGTTGCTAAAAAATGGTCAAATAAGTCCCTATATAGGAGACTATGTCCGGCCGTCGCCATTCGGGGGGTTTCCGGTGGAATTTGTTGATGAATTTTTTTGAGCATCTTATTCATTAAGTCTAGTTTACTCATACCAAATTTCAGCTAAAACTTCAATCGGGAAGGCATTCAAACGAAGTCTTTAAGATAACTGCGCAGTTAAATACGCAGTTACCTTCAAGAATTCATTTGAATGCCTTCCCGATTGAAGTATTAACTGAAATTTGGTATGAGTAAACTAGACTTAATGAATAAGATGCTCAAAAACTTTCATCAAATAAATACATCAGGAATCTCCCCAAATGGCGACGGCCGAACAGTAAGGACTTATTTAACCCCTTTTATGCAATTTCATGGACCAATTTGACCCTTAACCTCTTGAAAAAAGGGTTAAGGGCCAAAAATGACACTAAGCGAGTAAGTTTCCCTTAGTGTCATTTTTGGCCCTTAACCCTAAAAAAAATTGAGAACCTATATTGAGTAGCTTCTGAGAAAAATTATGTAACTTTTATCATTAATTAATCACAATAGCCTGTTATACCAAAAAAAGAAATTAATTAATTGATTAAAAGTAGAGTAAATGATTTTTCTTTGCTAATAATAAATTGCCCATAAGCCAGTAAGTTTCCCTCTTGCGTAGGGTTTCTCTTGTGCGACAATATTGCCGATCAGAGGCTAGTTTATGCGCTGAGCATCGCGGTCTCTCCCTAGCAGGTCTAGGGTTTGGTTTTTCCTTAATAGATCTAATATTTGGTTCTTTCGGCCAGTGAATCCCTTTCACTTGTGTTCGGCGCTGGGATTGGATATTGAGGCAGATTGACAAGAATCCTTGCCCAAGCTTGATGACATCGAAGCCAGAGTTCGGCGGTCGTTTTCTTCGTGAGCAGGGTAGCAAGGGCATGGCAGCGATGAAGATGACCGCTAGCGGTGGATTTGCTACGAGCGCGGGATGAGGAGAGGTTCACGGATTTTGAGCAGGCCAGATGATGATTCACAATGGATGATCAATTAGAGTAGTACCAAGGATACGGCTTCCTCCTGAACCACCGTCATGGGTTGTATGAGGTGCTAGAGTCCGTGGAAGTTTTCCTATTAGTTATTTTTATTCTGTCATTCGACTTCTTGTTATCGTCTATGTTGTTAGGTTTGTCAGTTTGTTTGGGAATTCAACCTTTTTTATGTCAGAGTATGTTTGTATCTATGAGAATAGGGATGGTTGTGTCAAGCCCGCTACATGGTTAGCGATTCGCGTTACTCTATCAAGGGTGACCATCTCTAAGTCTGATCATAGAGTTTACAGTCGTAGTTGTCGGATTTTAGTTGGTGTCAGTTTTGTTTTTCCTTTGATTGATGTAATGATCTTGAAACTTATGATATAAAAGAAGGTTAGTTGACTATAAAAAAAATTGCCCATAATAATTTACTTTCTTGTACCCCAATAACTTTTTATTGTTACAAGAGGGAACATGTGTATAACAAGTCAAATGTTAGTCACTTGTGGGATTTAGGGAGTGTTTGGTTAATGGCCTATCAGCCATTTTTTGGCTGATTTGACCATTATTGACTTTTTGACCAGATGAACAGCTAATAGAGGTGTTTGGTTAATTAGCTATTTCACTTGGCTTTTTATCTCAAACAGCCAAAATTGGAAAAGCCGATATACATAGCGTTTAGGGATTTGACCGTTTGAATATGTATAGCATATTACAATTGTGTTCGCATTGCTCCCTTGCGTTCGTCTTCCATACTTACGACCAAAGAATACAGGGTGGAGCAAACCCAACTACGCTGTCAATTGTTGTTGGTTGGAGTACTCATTATTCTATTTATTATTCCATTTGTCAATAAACAGGGATTTTCATTGTATATTTTTTATTTATTCCATTTATTAATTAAAAGATAATCACTTATTAAACGAATGTTATTTGTCCTGCCAAAAAAACGTGTTATTTGTGTTTAAAAAACAATGTTGAAATGAATTGTTACTTGTGTTAATAAAATTTTATTTTTATTAGATAAAAACAGATTAAGTAGTTTTTTTGGGCAAATCTTTATAACCTATTATAGTATCTATTATGCTAAGACCAACATCTTTGAACTGGGATGTGATTCGAACTTGTGACATCCTTTTTAGAAGTGACACATTGATGTCACCAGGTCACAAGGTGCTTGGTCAGATCAAGTAGTTGTATTAATAATATTAGCAAAATGTGTGAAACATATATAAAAGTAGTTAATAAACAAAAAATAATAATTGATTTCCTTAAAAGTAATTTAACAAGTTATCAGCCAATTGTGAACATCTGTTTAACCAAACACCGTTTTATAAACAACTAAAGATTATTAGCTAATCAAAACAACCAACGGAATCCGCTGTCACCTATCAGCTAACATATTCAGCCGATAACCAACGACCAATTGACAAACACCCCTTTAGGTGAATTTCAAACTAGTGGAACACTTTACTGGCATTGGTAATAAAAAAACTACTCCGTAATAAACTAGATTACCTAAAGTTTATAGGAGGAAAGAACAATCACCACCGCCCACAATAAAGTTCCTAGTGCATATTGTGTCCCCTTGGAAATAATTCATCGATATACCACTCGTCATTTCAATTTTTTGAGGTGTAGAGGGGAAAAAACTCAAGAGTGCATACATCTACTCGATGAGTGAAGGAACAATGTGACTACTTCATAGACCAGATTATAAAAAATATTCAAAGTTTTGTCTCAAAGAAATATGTCGATGACACGGCAAGGCCTCCGACGTCAAACGTTCGGACCAATCTCTGTCTCTTTTGAGAAGATTCAAGCCAACACAACTCCAGATGAAACGACTTTGATTCCTTCACACTTTTTGCTACATCAGACGGGCATCCCATATACATGCCCCCTGGTAATAGTGTATACTGGAAACCACCATCAAATGAGACCAAGTTGCTAGACATCGTACCAGTCCAACGTACATTAGTAGTAACGCCACTTCCTGAAAGTGTGGATGTGATGTCCTGCATGCAAG